CCTCAAATTAGTACAGTTACTTAGTCATTATTACACAGAATAAAAAAGAATTATGTAATCTAGGAAAATTTGTGCAACTAGCGAGTGCAGCAAGAACAGCGCCTTTCATTTGTTTATACATTATAGAAAATATAATATGTACTATACATGTTGCATGTTAAACTCATTATTATACATGTTATATTTGTTATTAAACATGTATAATTGTGAGATATATGTCTCTTGACTTCAATAAACTGAACTAAACAGATGAAATAAATAGAATGCCTAATTTCATCAATGTACCTTAATTTTCAAAGAATAAATTCATTTTCAAATGTTTGAATTTTATGAAAAAAAAATGTTTTTTTTTTATATTTGCAAAATCTGATTTCTACTTCATGCACTATTTAAAATACCAGTACCCACTAGATTTTCTGACTTCAGCATAAATTTGCATGTTTCATTAGCTGTCTGAGTGTTTACTTTACTGAAATTTGGCAAATGCTCCTATCTTGAGAAAAAAAAAACAGGAAAATTCAAGAAAGTCGATCAAGGAATTTTGTGGTTGGGTGAGTTTGGGAAGGGGTTGGGGCAGTAGAAGGCAGGGGGTCCTGGGCTGCACTGAAGTCTCCAGTGGGTTTAGGGCAAGGCATTAGTGGGGGTCCACAAATGAAAGATGTTTTCTCCTTGTTTTAGGATAGTGGACATATAAATTTTATATACACTACTGTACATGTACAAAATCTTCAAACGGAGGGGGGGGGGGGGTAACCGGCACACCGGCCCTGGACCTGCATTTGTGACATGTGACATGATTTTGTTACACCCGATTGCGCACTCGAAATGCGTGGCCGACATGTAGTACTCCTTGTGTGGTTTTAGATTTTTTGCGTTTATTCCTTGTTTTTATGTGCATTTTCTGTTTGTAAATGATGTATCGACCTGTATTTTGCATAATACTTTTGTCCTGTTTTGGAAAAAGTACGTTAACTTTAATAATTTCATCACGACCGAGTAGCACGGCTATGTGAGATGTACGTCTACACTCATCGGATCTTTACAGCAAAATACATTGAAGTGATAAGCAATCTGCTCCTTATATATGGGTTGTAGGAAGAGCTTTGAAGAACAGGAAATATGGCGGACTATGCCCTTTTACGAGTAGTGTTCAGCTTTAATCAAGAAACGTGTTATTTGACTCACCTTAAATAATACTTTTCTGCATGGAAGAACTTAAGTTATATTGGATACATGTATCACTTAAGAAATAAGACATAATACCCCCTCCCTTTTAGGGGTAGTTGGGACCACAAATACATTTAATCTTTCCAAGGCTAAACTGATTTTTGCTTTGATCCCAGCTACGGTGCTCAGGTGAGGGATGTGGTCCCTGGGCCTTTTGATTCAAATTTAATTGATGCATATTCTTTTCTGCTTAATTCCCTAGCACTGCTATTTTTGGAAGAATAAAGTTTGAAAATTTTGAAATGTGAAAATCTATATTAATTATGACCAAAACAATGTCTTTATATTGATCATCTGAGTGAGTTATATAGAAATGTGATTTTTTTTTTAAATTTAGGATGAAATAAAAACATGCATATTTTACAGTTGAAGGCTTGTTGTGGTTTCGTCCCTGGAAAATGTTTCAAGTCTCTTTTCTCTAATATTTTGTTGTACATGTATTTCAACCTTTACATGTAATTTAGCTGCAGATCTGTAGCGTTATGGTTTTATATACTTGTCTTTGACCATAACGCCACAGATCCCGTAATGCGAAAAAGGTGCAATTTACGGCGCAATATTTCTTGCGCGCTTTTGGGGAGAATTTCTCCTTTTTCTAGCATTGGTTAATCAAATACCTTTCATTCCCTTCTTCTAGACACATTCTGTAGCCAATGTATATATATATATATATATATATTATCTACCTCCCAACCATTTATAGTTGTCTCTACAGGCAATAAACTCGCTTGAAGTGAATTTTTAGCAATCTAACAAAGAATTTCAGTCAAGTGAGTTTATCAGTTGTAGAGATAGCTGCAGATCTGTAGCTCTCCGAAAAAAAATTATTGATAGACCGGAGAGCTACAGAGCCACCCATTGAAAAAACTGTATATTTATTGCGCACAAAATAATGCGCTCGGTTCTCGATTTATTTCTCCATGTTTTTAAAGCTGTAATCTCAAAATATTACTAACCATGTGTTTCTAACATATTCTTTGACTCTTTCCACAACAAATTAAATATTCCTCATAATTGTTGTTAATAATCCTCCTGGCCCTGATATTGCAATCATCGGACATTTCGCTTATTTATACTGCCATTTTGGTTTCAAAGATAATTCGGTCCAATCTGCAGATCTGCAGCTACATGTAACTGTGAGACTGACATCGAATGATAACTCGTCTAACTTTTATGGCCTGGAACCCTGCCACTTGTTTGTTTAGGTACAAATGTTAACTATAACACTCTTATCATGTTAAAATATGCCATATTTTTTTCAAAATTTATGACATGTTGCCATGGTAACAATGACACATAACAACCAATTTTTTGCATAACTTTTAGTAACAATGTCAGAGACTTTAAAGGAGTTTTAAGAAATTCAGAGACACTACATACCACATGTACAGCTCCTATATAAATGTTCAGGTCATTATAGATGATATGGAGCTTTAATAACTTTTCATGATAGCTACATGCTCAATGTTATTGCCATGGGTTTACCTTACAAGCATTCTGAGATTATTGCATAACAATACATGTCCCCTACCGGGTTCCCCCTTTTCTCTAGAATGTCATTTTATAATATGCAAAAGTTATGACCATGATGTTAAAATTTTGAGGTTATGCATGACTTTAATCTAAAAAAGAAATAAAACACATAACGGAAATTCAACTTATTTTTTCAACATCTTTTGGCTTCATGTTTACCATGCAATCGCATCATCTCGGGTCTTTCCGTCAGAGGTCGGAAAAACAACCTCGAATGTATATGGTAGACGCCATGACAACCCTCCTTTTTCACGATCTTTGAAATAAATGCATTGAGAACTTTTATCTGTGGAATATGGAGCTTTACTTTATTAAATGTAATGATATCACCTAAAATATACTATAGAAGGAACTTCTAAATCCGTCTAGCCTGTATTTGAATAAACGGGAAATGTATAAATTTTTAACATCCGGTGATGTTAATACATTCGAGGTTGTTTTTCCGCTAGTCGGAAAGGCCCGAGAAGTTACGATTGGTTTACCATGTTGACCTTTGGAATTTAGCGCAGCACGAACCCGATCTTAAACAATTATGAAAAAAAATAAAACGCCATAAATCTGTCAAAAATCAATGAAGCGTAACGAAATTCAAACTTAATCTGTAACTCACCAAGATACACTCACATGCCGAAATTCAGCTCAATATCTTCAAGCGTTCAGAAAATAAGTGCGGAAACCCAAGTAGGACAGACTTACACACAGACACGGGGACAGCTAGTCCGACGGACAGACTCAGAGGAAACCTATAGCCTTCCAGTTTCACCGGTTGGTGACTAATAAAGTACAAAAAATGTACTGAGGCTCTTAAATCACTGTGGTCTGTCAAACACTGAATAATCTTTACAAACATATATGAGTTCGTGTCAAAAGTTGATTTATTTTCTTTGTTACTATGGGGAATTTTCTGTTGCTATGGCGATTAGTATTTGCAAAATATTCCTGAATTCATAAAGAAGTCTCAGAAATATGTTTTTACTTTAAAAATTGATTTTGTTATCCATCGATAAGATTTAATTCCGTAAATAACTCGCATATTTGACAAATTGTCTCTTTCTCTTAATCAAAACATCCATTTTTGTTGCTAGGCAACCGATTGTAAATATTAAAAAACACACGTTTTTGAATTTAAATTCCAAAAAGGATATTCCTCTGCCTTTATGTAAAATATACCATACTTTTGTATTGTGCCAGAAGTTTGAGATATATGGCCTTGAAAATTGCCCAAATTAACAAAAATGCTGAATCAGCAAAAAATGCAAAACATGCATATCTTCCATTGCCCGTAAAAGAAATATCTTAAAATAAAAATTCTATGTATTACATGGTTTTATCACTTGAAATGTTTATCTTTATGATAACATTATTTAAGAACCCCTCTGGTAATATTCACATTCAATTTCAAGCCTCTAAGTTTAGTGATATATTTGCCCATCCACATTGAAAATTGATCGGTTGCTAGGGAAAATTTCTTTGACCATGTTTCCATAGTAACCAGTACCCAAAATAATTTTCATTTTACATAAGTGGTTCATAGTGTAAGAGAAACCTATGTGTGTAAAATCATCCAATTCTGAGAACCCTCGTGATTCACTTTTATACACATATTGTCTGATTCTTACAGAGACCCGTACTTAAAAGGTTTTGCTTGTTTCGGTATAATAAACAATTCATTGCATGAATTTTCGGGAAACATGAAGACTTATTCAGCCAAGAAATATCATATTCGCCTCGGGCGAAGCCCTCGGGGAATATGATTTTTCTTGGCTGAATAAGTCTTCATATTTCCCTCACTATCATGCATTAAATGTATAATATTCCCTTTTAAAAAAAATAGAGAGAGGAATTCGGAATAGCCAATCTTTTTTAGTTGAATTAGTATTTGAATTTGGTAGTATCTTTCTTTAAAAGGAATTCAGCTTCTGGCACCGACTACCAGGGGCATTCCAATTAAACGGTATATTTCTAAGTGAGACGTAAAGAATTCAGGCAAAGAAGTATCGAGGTTATATATTGATAAATCTTTACAGAATTCGCCGAGATATTGCAGGTTTATGTGCTGAGTTCAAGGGTACATGTATATTTAAATCTTCAAGTATATTTATAGACAACTGCCGAAAAAATATTTACAAATAACCATTCATTTGAAACGACCTTATAAGAAGAGGGAATTTACATGTAGAACAGATTTTAACAAAAGAGGCGGGACATGAGGGCGGGCCTAAGAATTACCACAATTTCAAAGTGGGTAAAATAGCATACTTCATATAACGCTGAGCGAAACCAAAACTTTGATGTAGGCTGAAAATGGGAAAATCCCAATTCTAAATGGAGTGCAATTGTTTACCGAAATCGGAAAGCACGTGTTTGTGTCTGCCGATTCAGGAAAAATCTGAACACGGTGCAAATTGCAGCCATGAGAAATACCTATCAACATGCATCAAAGTACTTGGAGCTGCGGTTGTTTTCCTGTCAGTAGCTGTAACTTATTTGATTATTCAAACAAATGAATTGGAAAAAACACTGCAACGACTGCAAATTTCTGATGAATCTCATGCAAATTTGGCACAAAAGCCTTTATTTGAATCTAACTATATCTTATATGGGCAGAAGAAACCATCTGAAATCAACGTAAGTATTACGCTTCTTGGGGATTCAAGAAACTGTCAAATGAAAGAAAAAGATGGCAGAGATACTTGTAAATGTTCATTTGTATTCTGGAATTCTTGAGGATGTTTGTTGCTTTGTTCATATACCGGTATATGTATTGAGATTTATCACTATTTCGTAGTTTTAACCCTTTTTCATTATTATAACATTCAGCTTGCTTGCATTATTTTCAAAGATCCCCATTATTATGATATTATCATTAATTTATCTATTAAAAAATGAAATAAACACTATGTGTTGTTGAGACTTCTGTGTGGTTGTTGCTAAGATTGCGAGGAAGTAATGTCAATGATTAAGGTAGGATTCTTCTCATCTTTCTTGTATTTAAAAGTTAATGAAATTTTCACAGAATCAAGAAGACAATATTAGTCAGTCATAGTATCAGTGAAAATAAATTTGACCGTTTCATATAAGAGGCAAGGTCAGGTCAAGGTCATTATCTTTTTCCTTGCCATTAAGAATAAAAAAAATACTGTTGCCAATCATATGATGTCTACTTCTCTTTCAAAAGTTTAAAGATTGTTCTTTTTGCATAAAAAGATATTACTATATCGGGTCTGTAGCATGATATTACCAAATTTTCATAAATAATTTAACTAAACTGGATATTGGCTAATCCGAATTTTCTCTGTTTTCTTAATTTTTAAGGATATATAAGTTACTTTCAGATGCTTCCTATATTTAACTTTTTCTTATTTTCACATACAATAAAGTAGTCTTTTAAATATACAAAATGATACAAAAACAAAGTTTTGACCGTTTACTAAGAGAGAAAAAATACTTTTCATGGATTAATGGTTCATATCTGTACTTTGATTGGAAGCGTTTAAAAGCCAACATAATTCTAGTTTGTTTGAAAAATCATATTTATTTGATATATTTTGAAAGTTTAGTCCCTTATTATTGATTCAACTTACATTTGAAAATTTCTTGAAGTCTTTGATTGTATAAAAATTATAACTAAATTCATTGTTCTGTAATAATTTTGAGAGGCAGAAAAGAAGATATTTTCATACGCCACCATTCTGCCAAAAATATAGTCCCTGCTAGTTTTCAAGCGCAGTTTACCATTTCTATTTAAAGTTGTACAATTCAAATGAGGAGAGAAAAATGTGGTCTTGTAAATCCCTTGCACCTAAATATATAAGACATATAAGCAAATATACTTTGAATGTTTCATCTAGTCAGAAACCAGAGAAGAATCCTACCTTAACAGAATTGTTCTTCTTGCAGAGAAATCCTGTATACAGAAGAGAGAAAAGAAATGGTAATTACTTTATATGAGTAATATGATAGTTCTGAGGCTCATTGTCAAAATTCAGTACATGCGGTTCAACATTTCAAACATTTCTTTATCATATCCGAATATGGACAATAGAAGTTCCATTTTTTAGCTTACATGTACCATATTCGTCGAAACAATGCTAACAGTGATCGTAAAATAGGTATCGAAAGAAAAAAAAACTAGCATTACAACTTTTTTTGGACTGCAAAACATTTTAGAAACAAGGAGATACATGAAGACAAGGTTCTATTTTCTTTAGGAAATGTTAACTTCTATATGTTCCATCATGCGGCTTCATATAGAACATGAAAAATACGATACCCATGGGGATACTTCTTCAAAGATGTTTCACAAGACATTAAGAATTCAATGGGGTTTAGATATACAGGTTCAATCTTCAGTTTTCAATATTTGATAATTTGTAATTTACTATAATGTAAACAAAGATTTCAGAAAAAAATATGATAAGTTTAAATAAACTGCTTTAATATCAGTTTTTTTTAAATAGTCCGTCCTTTTGTAATTAGGTTCCGTCTTCCTTTACATTTTGTAGACAGTTCCTTAATTTTATTGTATAATTTCAGGTCGTTGGAGAACTGAAGTGCGGGCAGACTTAGCTGAAATAAAAAGAAATCTGAGTATGAAATGTTCCTTTTATATTTCTTGATTATAAAAATTCAATCAAAATTAGTATTGAAAGGTAGGTATCACATAAAAACCTTTAACAATTCAAACAATACAAATAGGCGATCAGGGCATGAATAGGAACCCCTGAGAAATCCGGAGGTGGGATCAGTTGCCGGAGAGGAGTAGGCATCCCCCGTGATTTCTACGTATTGATCAAGTAGATAGCACTTGCCGTAGTCAATATTATTACAAAAAAGGCCTTACAAGTGATATAAAACGAGCCAACCAAAAGAAGTACCAGAGATAGGTTAAATTTATTATGAAAGTCATTATAACCACCATTGAATTTCCAAATATTGACTTTGAACGAGGTTGTTGAAATCCCTGCAACATCAACTGATGTGTGAGAAGCTTGCCTCTGTTTAAAATACCGGTAGTAGAATTTCAACAGTGGTTTGTGTCTAAAATAAATTATTTCTTTCTTTTTTCCAGGAAGATTGGAGAATACTAAAATTCGAAACTTGGAGGGTAAACCTTTTGATATTCAATTCACATTTCATGTGTTATTTTCTTAAATTCGTTGCTATAAAGTGATGCATTAGAATTATAAGGATTTTGGTTTTAAATTTAGTTTAAAATCATAATAGTTTAGCAATTTTCTTGAAGATGGAATAATGAAAAAGGTCGTCCACTTAACAATGTCTGCGTCCATGACTCAAGATACCCTGAAATCTCCCGTCAACAACATTGGTATGATTCAATTTAATTGCTTATACTTTTAATTTCTTTTTCAAAAAGATGCAATTTTTCTTTAGATGATTTCAATTTCAAAAAATGCCATGAAAATGAAGACCTCTCCGATATGTTAAGAGAAAATTTCCCATATGGAAGCTTTTAAGTACTTGATATATACACATGTACTTATACATGCAAGAGAGTTGTCGGTTTGTCATCAATACTAACAAGCTTTATTTTTTAGATGGGTGCTTCAACAGGAAACACTGCTTTAGATGGAGTGATCCGGAGTCTATATATTCCTCCACTTTTGACTACATCAGAGATAACGCCTATAGTATGCCCGTAGCTATCAAAGTTCGCAGTCCAGGAATATATTTAGTATATGCTCAAGTAGCAGTCAACGGTCCAGAGCAAGGGTAGATATAATTAAGGTTGCTACTATCCATTACTATCTTGGTACTTAGATAAGTTGCTATAAGATAATATGATTATTTGTTTACTTTATCTAAAAATAAAGTAACAGCTTCAAATGAACAATTTTTCACATACTTCACAGAAGAGGGCCACTTGAAGTGATTCAACTACACTTGTAGTTTCAAGTGATAAATGCATAATTTGTGTAAACCATTACTCATGGTTGATGGGATTATTTTTTTTCTTGGAAACAATTTAACAAACACAAATATTCAAACTCATTAAATTTAGAATAAAAAAAATTATGTACATATTTGTGGTCATTGATTAATAGAAAACCAGGGAGAATAAACAAGGTTTTCAACTGTTTGTGTAATCATAGCATAGTGTAATTTGGATTTTCAATCCATCACACAACCTTAAAGACAGTAAGGAAGAAACATTAAGAATATCAACTCGATTCAATTATTTATTATATTTTTACAAATATGTGTCTGCTTTAAGATACGCTAGTGTTCTTTTTGCAAAGCAGTTTCAATTCATAACAAATTCTAGTCATCTCAAATATGTCTTGTTTACAGAAATTTCCTGCTTGCATCTATTTCAATCTTAAGTAAATATAAAAGAGAATTTTAGTCTTTTCCCCTCGATTTTATTTCATTTGCTGATTTAACTTACGGGATTATTTTTCTTAATATTAACAAACAGCCATTTATAAATATAGAAATTTCCTCAGAAAGATTTCATCTTAAAACTAGAAGTTTTCAATAAATGTAACTAAGTTCTCTGAATAAGCCTGCTTCAAAATTTGTCTACATAATTTTGCGTTTATTAAATATTGTTTGTATGTTTTAATGTACAGGTACGAGCCATCTGTAGGATTTGAAACAGTTTTGGTTCATAATGGAACTGAAAAGACCTTGATAAAAAGTTACATAACGCAGGATAATAGGTTTGTAATTCCTAACAATGTATATTTACCAACATTATGTAACAAGTAAATAAACCTGACCTGTTGTCTGACACAGATTTCAGATAAGAAGCACATAATGTACCGAGGTCAATGCCCTGTTGAAAAAAACATAGACAATTCTTAAAAAAAAATATGATTATTATATCATTAATCCACTTTGCTTTAATTGTTTTGTAATACAGAGGTCAGGCATATTACGATAGAAGAGAGGGCGAGCATCCATTTGACACAATGAATCATATGGGGATGTTTAAACTTGAATGTGATGACTATATTATGATAAGGCCAATTGGAGACCCAACGTTCATCTATACGAACACAGAAGCCTCATATTTTGGCGTTGTTCAGATCAATCCTGCGAGAAGTATACTATATGGTGATTACAGCTGTTAACACCACCTACTAAGAATGACAACTCTTATTTTGACTTTATTTTTAAAATTTATGCTAATAGCATTTCGTTCCCTTGTACAATGTAATTCTTATATATACACTTACTCAAAAGTTAGGGATCATCAATCTTTCTGTGAACATTTTTAACATTTCATTCTCTTAGACCAATCAAATTAATTATTTAATATTTGGTTTAAAATCTGAGTAGATCTATATTTTCCTTAGTCAATGCATGTTTCGAAATCTTCTGTAAACTAAACTCTTTTACGCAAATGATAATTTTCCAAAAAAGAATTTAAGTCATAAAATGTAGAATTTAAAGTTTCACTTTAATTTGTTTTTGACAAAAGTTGCTAGCAATAAGCATGTTTAACTTTATTGACATTTAAAGAGTCATCAATTTTCAACATTTTATAAGCATAGATATATAGGCCTAATTATGTGTGTGTCCACCACTACTTTTGTACAGTTCTTTTACACGCCTTCCCATACTGTGGACAAGTCTTCTTAAGAGGTTTGAGAGGAACTGTCTCAATTCCTTAATTAATGCGTCTCTCTATTCCTGTAAATTTTTACAACTTGGGATTCTCTGATTAATTCTACGACCAAGATAATCCCACACATGTTCAATTGGGTTCATATCTGGGGGCATGACGGGACAGGGCATAGTTTCAACGGCTCCTTAGCGAAGATAGTCTTCAGCTTTTCAGGCCCGTTGAGGTCTAGCGTTGTCATTCATTAGTACAGATTGACTTGCTAATGAATGATCATCGAAATGAGGCACAACTAATGGGCTAAGTATATTGTCTCTTTACTTTTGAGCAGTTAAGGTGCCATCAAGTATGTGTACATGTATTTCCAGTTTACACCACAAATAGCAACATCCCCAAACTTTTGATCCGCCTCCACAAAACGCCTTTGTTCCCAACACATGTTGTTGTTGTTGTTGTTTGTATGCAGAATTTGGGTGTCTCCATACCCGAACCAGGCCGTCTACCGGGTGCAGCAAGAATCGGTTTTCATCTGACCAATGTATATATTCTTTGCCACAACCAATTGTTCCATCTCCTATGCTGTTATGCCCATTGTGATCTTGCTTCTTTGTGTCTCTGGGATAAGAGCGGATATTTTATTGGCCGACATAATCTCATCCGTTCCTTATTTAGCCTTCTGTTAACTGTACTTCTGCTGATTCCAGCTTGTTCCATTTGCTTCTCAGCGTGTTTGCTGTATCAAAAGGACTCTGTTTAGCTATTCGTTTTAGAAGTCTGTCTTTACTTTCTGTAGTCTTTCGGGGTCTTTCAGATCTTGTAGCTTCTTATACACCCCCAGTTCTTCTCCACCGCTGTACCAGACGCAAAATTACAGTGTGACTGACATGTAAGTGATCTCCAACCCTCCTATACTTCATTCCAGTTCTTACCACTCCAGTTGCGATAGTTTTCGACGAGGCATGATTGCACGAACTTATAACATTTTTTTTCTATCAATTAAGCTCATGCAAACAAAGATGTGACTGCATTGAAAAGTGAATTGTTAAAACACGCATTGGTGACCTTGAAGAAAACGGTTTTACAAATATTTGAATGGAGATATTGATGTAACATAAAAACAAATAATAAATAATCATTTGGTTGACTAGTAAATCTGAATTTATTCAATCAAAAATATTTTTTTACTTTGAAAATTAATTTTCTTATCAAAGTTGGTGGTCGTTAACTTTTGAGTAAGTGTATGTGTATATTTTCCCATATAAGCTCTTCAAATGCAAGCACAACGCATTCCCAAACTTATGCGTAAAATATTATACTAATTAATACTTATATCTGACTGATAGTGCTCTCTATCAAGTGATTATTGTCATCATTGTTAAGATAACCATCTTTCATAAGAGATACTTAAAATTCCTGCTCTAAATTGGAATATTTAGTGTTCTGAGAGTTCTGTAAGTGGACAGTTTAAATACTCCCAGTACAATTTTGTTTCTACGACTACTTTTTTTAAAATGGCAAGCATAAATTTAATTTCAGACTGGTCACGTTTCGTACAGCTTTATTCTTCAAGAAACTTATTAGGACTCCTAGTTATTTATTTTATTGCAAGAGATCAAAACTCTTTCACATGGTGTTTTTGTTTACATTGATAATACGCATTATGTTAAATGCAAGTGTTTGGAATTTGTCACATGCTCAGCAATAGGAAATGTATTTTCTTTTAGATTTAATATTAAGGAGGTATTCTTTTCATATCTAATCGTATTTCAAAAATGAAGACATTTTAAAATATTCAAGACGACAATATGAATGAGGTTCCATTGAATCGTTTTGATTTTATTTTTGAAGCAAGGCCAGGTCTAGGTCATTATGTTTGCATCAATTGAAGTTACCCTAAATGGTACATGTATATCAGACGATAGTACCAAATTAACATAAAAAATTAACTAAAACAGATATTGGCTAATCAAATTTTCCTCTATTTTTTTATATTTCAAAATATTAATTTCTTAAATACCGGTATACGTCGTATATTTATTTATTTTTTTTTTTTTTTTTGAACTTTTACAGAGTATGTTAAAGTAATCATATTGAGATACAAAAATGATATTGAAATAGTTCTAACCGTTTATTTAGAGAGAAGATTTTTTTCTTATTTTTTGCTCATATCTGTTCTCAGAATCGATGCTTTCAAAAGATAACAAATTGTTTTAGAAAACATATTCATCTCATTAACTTAAAACGTTACTCTATAACTTATAATCTGAGTAACATTCAGAAACTTCTAAAATCTTTGATTGTTTAAAATGTAATGCATAATTCATTGTTTAGTTTTATTTTGAGAGGCAGAATGATTTCATGTGCCTTTATTCAGTCAAAAATGTAGTCCCTGCTTGACCCAAACTCAGTTTACAATTTCTGTTTCAAACTGTTAGTGTATAAAAATGAATACTAGTAGACGAGAACAATTTTACTTTTCAAATATTTTACATCTTTTAACAAGTCTGGTAAGCAAAATATCCTTTGAATATTTCAAATATTCATCCCGCAGACAAGAATCTTTCCTTTAAACACCATTTACTCAATTTTAGTTCTATTCATAAACCAATTTATTCTACTGTGAGTCATGAATAAAACTATAATCATAAATAAGCAACGTAACGGTAATGTGAATTGATTGATTGTTTGTATGTTGTTTTACCTTCCATTCATGAATGCTGGTGAAGGGCTTCAAATTTTGACCTTTACTCGGCATTCAGGGCCATTTAGCAGTGAGGGATCTTTATCGTGCCAACGCCTGCCGTGACAAGGGGGCTCGGTTTTTAAGGTTCATCCGAAGGACCCGCAACATTCACTTCAAAGTGCTGGTCGCACGTTTCTACACGACTTATGTCAGTCGCGGCCTCCATATCACGAAAAAAGAGCGCTCTACCGTCTGAGCTACCGTGAGCGCTAAATAATATAAATTGAACTACCTCGCTAAATTACGTTATGGCGTTGTATTTTCTCGATAATATCCCTTTTCTATGAATAATAAGATATGTATTTTATTTTATTTTTATTTTTAATTTTCCTATTACTGTATGTTACTTTTCAAACTTTGACAACACGTATTATATATTTATATGATACTCAGTAGTAAATGTAATTTGTAAATATATGTACATACGTTAACTTTGTGATTCTTATTTTCTTTGTTATTTCTGTTTTAAATAAATAATTGGTATTACTTTAAGCATTGTTTTTAATTGTCAGTGTGAAATGACCTGTCAGAGCGCTGAATTTTCAAAATTAATATTACTCTATTTCTTTTTATATTTTTTTATAATGGGCTTTTTATATTGTCAGTCAGATGTAAAATTATTTGATTTTTTTTTAGACTTCCATATTTAAAAAAAAAGGAAGCTTTTTCCAGTGACACGGACCACGAAGTTACATAATGTTACGTTTTCAGAATACATGTAATTTAATCCAAAATAAAAAATAAGTACTAAGTAAGTATCTGATATCTGGTTGCCAAATAATTATAATATGCAAATCATATATTGTATAGAAATAAAGAAATAAAAAAGTGAACAAAATCAATTTTCTTCCTAACAATTGAATTTTTAAAAATTCTTTATCATTATTGTAAAGATATAAGACGGGCTTGGGGTAAAGCCCGATTAGACGTCAACTACATAATTGAGTGACATGGCGAGAAATATTTGCTTCTCATCTAGAAGATTTGGAATAAATTACATTTCATAAGAATATAATATCACTAATACGAGGGCAATAAATACTGGTAATGTACTCTGTGCTCGGAATGAAACAAAAAACGCTTTTCAGTGATTTAGTGATAATCATTTCACTTAAATATTCTCTTTTAATTAAAAATAAATAAAAAAAAATTAATGGCCCTTCCTTTACAGGGATATTGCAGATCCTGGACTTGTTTCTTCTTTCTGAAAGGTGTTTTGAAAATAAAACAAGTCAAAGAATGAGAGATTCGGCAAATATTGTCGATGTGACAAAAAAAACAACTTTTTATTTATATCCGAAATTCCTTTACTCTTCAAGGCGTGTTGGTCTGGACGCTGTCGTGAAGAAATTTAATGTCGTGGATCCCTGATTCTGGTTCCTTTCTCTGGTAAACCTTCCGATTTTTATGCAAAATCTTTGCTTTCTAGACTCCTCCAGAAATTGAACTGCCTCCCCGAATAAGAATCTGAACAACAAGACCAGTGATATTTAAGAAAATGGCATATAAATCTGTCCTTGTGCTCTTGCAATTCTTTGCTCTTCTCAGACCTTTGCTGTTTTTGTCAAGTGCATCTTATTGTAAATTTGCTTTGAGGGTTTCAAGCAATGGATCCAAGTTTCATTATCTGTTTGAATTTCAGACAAACATGGATAACTACAATTTCTGATTTTTGGAATAATTGTTTAGATATTCTCACATGCTGTCGTTTTCACTCATTTTTCAGAGATAGGAGGACCATTGAGTTTAAGCTTTTTTTATTGTCAAACGCCTCTTTAAAATCAAATGAACTACTCCCAAAATGATGTGATGCCTATCAATTTTGCTATGTGTCTTAAAGTCAATCAAACATCATCAATGAAAATTTGTTGAATTTGGCAAACGGTGCACTGGTTGTTGTAAGTCCTTATCG